GGTAAGCTTTATACGTCTTGAAGAGGACAAACTCTTGTTATGAACCAAACTCAATCCAAAGGCACTCTCAAGTTTGCAACAAAGACTCTACGGTTAAGGTTTAAGGATGTTTATGGTGTATAGATATGATTCAAGGGTGATAGGTTTGCTCAAAGATGACTTGCTAAGGAAGAAGGAGCTCTCAAGTGTGCGTTTAAGCTCTTTGGCAAATTTTCCACCCTCAAAACAAAGACAAGAGCTCGTATTTATAGAATTTGAGCAAAAAAGGTCAAAAATATCTTCAAAAATAGATAGCTGCGGGGCTCCCGCCCAGAACAGTGTTCATCGCCTAAAAGGCACGGCCAGCCCCAAATGGCCATGGCCGGCTCCTAATGAGGCACGGCCGAGCCCCAATACACTCCCCTGTCCTTCTATTTCAGGCTCAGTACAGGCTGGCACAATGTTAAAAAATGAACCTCTGAGGTAAGAATAGTGTAAATAGAAAAGTTTTGGAGTTGTTTCCAGACTTGAACTTAGATTCCTTCGTTGAGAATTCGAACCACACACAATGTAACTTTCATCATCGAGTGCTCAGGATAAAGTGCTCAAGTCTTGCGGACTGTCAAAAATGGGGTGTCTACACCTTCCACTAATTCAGCACCTCTGGAGCTAGAGGGACCAGCCCTATCATCTCTCTCATTCGCTAAGCTTGTTGCCACAGCTGTATCTACCATCATTTGAAACTCGAAGGACTGCTTAAACTGTTCAACAACAGCTGCGTAGAAGTCAGGGTAGGCAACAAGCTCAGAAGCTAGGGACGTTGTAAGCTCTGCATTCTTGGCCCTCTCTGCCTCCAATGTGGGCCTCTCAGCAGCCAGACTCTTCATCAAATCAACAATTTGCATGTCTTTTTCTTCCTTCTCCTTTAGAGATAGATCACGCAATTCCTCATTGTTGCTCAGCGCTTCTTCCAGTTGCTCTCTGACCATAGCACAAGCCTACTAGGCTTCAACCATTTTCTTTTGTTCAATAACTGCTTCAAACGCTAAGGCCATTATTCTATGGCAAGCAACTGCTAAGTCAGCTGCAGACTGACCTAGCTGAGCCTTGACATCGGCTAACTTTTTCTTAGTCAACTCGAACGGGGCGAGTTCTCCTCTCACCTTCTCCAACTTTGCAGTCGTCGTAGCTTGCTCAATTATTGTGCGATCGGCTACATGACTCTACAAAATGGCCAGGACTTTAGTTTTTTTTTTTTCTTTTTTTTTTAGCATGCAAGATTCCTTTGGCGCAAGTATTTTGTGCCAGTTTACGCCAGCGTTTGATTTCCGACTTTGCCATCTGCAGCTAGGGCTGTGCAAAATACTGCTTAATCCGCTAAAACCACATCGATCCGCATCAATCCGCACCGTTCTAACCGCTAACCGCGGTTTAAACTTTAAAATTTATAATCCGCCAACTAAACCGCTCCACTCTGCTCCGCTCCGCTATAGTTAATACATATATATTTTTTAACCTCCAATGAAATTTCAATATAAAAATGAGTGTGAGAGAGATTTAAAATACAAATTTATTACAAATTAGTAGTTATATATATGAAACATATTATGTAAAATTACTTTGTGTTATATATCTAAAAAATATTATACAAATTAGTGTTACATATTATGCAAATGTATGATAATTTGTTAGAATATTCTTCAATCTTCCAATTCGCCAAAAATCGCCTAAACTGTAATTTGTCAATCCGCCAATCCGCCAACCCGCCATTCGGTTTGTAATTTTACCTTCAAATTGCCCGAACCGCACCCTGCACACCCCTATCTGCAGCTTAGACCTAGCTTGCTTTGCTTTGGCTCTAGTCTACACCAGATCCAGCCTTGCCATCAATCCTTTTCCCAAACAGAGCGGCTGCTAGGGTTAGAGACTCCATGTGCATAGAGCCGAATGCTCTCATCAGCTCCACCTCTCAAAATCGAGACACATCCCTAACAGTTGCATCGTCGATCGCCCCCAGTATTCTGTCATAGGCGGCCTTCACATTGCCCAGTACGTTATAAGGCTCGCTAGGGTTAGTTAGGGGCACACCGATCACTGCGCTCAAGTGCCGAGCAGTGGTGCTCACCATCTCAACTAGGCGCTCAGTCTCTGCCCTTTGCTCAACCCTAGTTACTTCTTCCTTTGTAGTATTTGCTTTTTCTGACTGCGGGGGGTTAGACACTTGGTCAGACTTTTTTCTTCAAATTGGCCTAAATCAACTAGTTTAGCAATAGGGGGGTCAGCCTTAGCCCTCTCCGCTTCTGCTTCAAGCCTCAAAGCCTCAACCTCCTACCTCTGCTTTGCCACCCTAACTGGCTCAAAAACCACCTCTCTTGCCCTTTTGGATTTTTTTTCCTTCTTCCCTATCTTTTGGAGTAGCCCTCTTCTTCTTTAGCCTCTCCAAGTTAGCTTTATTTTTCTGCTTAATGGGATCAACTAAGGGCTCAAAAGGGATTAAATTCTTCAAGTCCTACATGGCCAAGGCCTTTAGACGGAGGCAAGCAACCCTATGGGCATATCATTTTGGGACAGGGCTCAATTGCTTCTCTTTCAATATGTCAGCCGCGACAAATGCTCTGATCTTCAACTTCTTGAGCCTTCCTCCTTGCCTCTACTTCTTCAAGAGTGGGGTCTTCATCGGCAGGCTCATAATCCAACCCAAGGGCAAATAAGGCAGAGGGTCTTACCAGGTCAACCCAGTTCAGTCCTTCTTTGTCCTTGAACTTCTTGACCATCTACACTCTCTTCTCTTTTGCGGCGGTCAAGGTTGGCTCTACCGACTTGGTAGGAATCTTCCAGGTTGTTCGAACTCCCCTACCACCATTTACAAATAAGTAAAACCACTTGGTTCTCTGTCTATTTACTGAAGAGGACAGCCCAGTTACCAATTTCCTGCCAAAAAACTATTTGCGGGGCTACCCAAGTCTCTTGCTGGCCAAATGCCTTGTAATAGGAGAATAACTTATTTATTGTCATGTTCTCCCCTTCAGTAGCCCGCAGCCACAAAATTTTCCTCGCGAACAAGATTTTTCAAGCGTTCGACACTAACTGGCCTAGTGCCGCCTCTAGCCAGTTCAAGACATCGATGGCGAATTGGGGGAGTAGCAACCTCAGACCCCCATGTAATGCCTTCTCATATAAGGAGAACTCCATTGGCCTAGCGTCAGAAGTTCTTTCCTCCGTTGTAGGGAACCTCAACTCTATATCTTCAGGAATTTGGTACTTTGTTCGAATCTCCTTCAGATCCAAGGCCGTCAACATTGATTTACTTGCTTCATATGCCAGTGGTCAGGGGCTACCTAGCTGATGGGTTGAGCGGCCAAAATCATTATCGAATGGATTAGGCGAGACGACCTCTTTGCTATCCCTTCTACCATTTTCTTCACCTTGTACTTTTCTACTAGGGATAATCTGTTGTTATCACCCAGTGGGTCGATAACTAGGGGAGGAGGATTCTCTCGTTCCATCTGTCTCATATTTCAGTATATGGTTTCGGATGCAAGAGCTAAGAAATTGAAAATATGGTAGAGATGGGAGTCATGGGAGACAAAGAAAGAGAAGTTTGGAATAATTTGGTTCTTTGAGATTAAGGCCTCGTTTGGCAAGAGGCTATTTTAGCCAATTAGTCAAAAAGTTACTAAATTAGCCAAAAAGCCAACAATCCATACCAAAAAGTCAAAGATTCTCTTTTCTCTCTACTTTTTGCACATCTTTTAGTAATTAGCCAAAAAGTCATCCCAAACATACAAGTTTTTTTTACCTACCTTTTTAGCCAAATAGCCAAAAAGTTACTAAATTAGCCTGTTCCCAAACGAGGCCTAAGTGTGTAAATTGCACAAGTCAGAAGGCCCAGGGTTTGCCAGTATTCCACGGATCTCAGTCAAAGTTTGCCAGTTTGAAAAATTGCTAAGCGTGGAAGGAAAGAGGAAAGTCAATTGGTTAATGGCCAAACTCTTCAAATTCACGCGCTTCAGAAAACCCTCCACATTCAAAACAATTCAACTCTACATCAGTGGGCTAGATTCTTCCACGTGGACGGGCTAGATTAGTCCTCTTAACCACTGTTCATCTTTTTTTGCCTCACGTCTAATCCATTATTGAATATGGGCCCACGAATCAAGTCATCATGTGGATCGCCATTCCTCGAGTCCCGCGCATAACAGAAGCACTCAAGTGCTTAGCGATCAGACTACATTTTAAGGGGCAACCGGCCAGATCCGCCGGTCAGCTAGATCCATCGGTCAGCCAGATTCAGATTTATCAATGGTCGGCTAGTTTTAGTAGTCAGTCATATTTAGCGGTCAACCATTTTCAGCGATCTACCGTACTTCAATGACCTACCCGTTCGGCCTTCATTCACAGTCGGCCCTCGCGGTCGGTTTCTTCGCTCTCTTGCCATAAGGCGGTTGGTCGATCCCTTCTTCATGACTTAGGGGACTACTATTACTGTTCTCATTCCCTTCGTTGGACTAAAGGTGTACTCGAGAATGGGGGACTACTGATGGGTATAGCCTATGAGGGCCCAACCCGTAATCTGCATGGGCTGCCCAGATAACCATTTGATTAATTATCATCATAAGGCCCAATAGTGGGCTCAATTAGAGAACCCATGGCAGTCAAACCCAACTACCAACTGGGTACATGTCAAGCAGGGAATTGGGCACATGGAATATAAAAACCTTACAAGCCATTGGGCCCCACGTGCCAAGCATTAAATGAGACTGTCAAGCATTAAATGTAATAAGGCCGTCTCCCCTTGAGGCGTGGTGAAACCGCCATGGCTGGTGACAAGTAGGTCATAGACTTTTGACCAATAGGACAACGTGAATCGACAAAGGAATGATTGGTAAGAGATATAGGGAAGCTGAAGGACATTTGGTAAAAAAATCACCCACACACTCTCTCACTTTGCTCTCAATTCTTTCTAAGTCTCTTCATCCTCTCCATATACTTAACTAACTTGATCGTCGGAGGGTCCTCAGGAGGGAACCACTCGTACTTTGGAACCTTCCTATTGGACTTGTTGCAGGTGTTGTTGGGAAGACAAAGGTCAGTCGACTCGTGGAGCATCTGGATCCTGTCCAACCCATCTTCTACTGACCAAACTGCATCATCACATGATAAGTTTGCCATGCATAACTTTTAATACAAATTGACATAACACTAATCACAAATGTTGAAAACTTTCCCCATAAAAGTAGTAATTTTTTTTAAATGTGCCTTTTTAAGTAAAAATGATTTAGTAGGTGTTCATATGCTCGACCAATGATAAGTTATAATTTATTCACTATTTTCTTGTAATTAGGATCATATATTCTTGTAATTAGGATCCTGTCCAACCCATCTTCTTAAGTTTTGCAGTTCTTTCGAATATTTTCAGCTTCAATGGAGTTCAATTTCCTCCCCATCTTCACATTTCTTTCAGTTAAGTGCTTAAATTTCCAAATTCATATTTCTTTCAATTAAGTGCTTAAATTTCCAAATTCCTCAAATCAATGAAACCATTTTCTCCGACTTTTGTATTTGTTTCTTAAACATTGACGATGGAATCATAGAAGAAAAATAATATATAACTCACTTTTTAGACTCAATGATATGTAAAACATTCATTATGTTTGAAAAACGAGTTTAATTTTAGGCCTCAATAACATTACTCATCATGAAATATACGAGGGATATATACTTTCTGTCATCTAACCGACCGATTTTTAAAATCATACGTATGTTACACGATAAATTTGACCTATTTAGTGAGTGTGCTTTCACCTTATAGCTAAAGTAAAGTTTAGTTAAGATGAAAATGGTAGAAAGTATAGCAATGGTAGAAAGTGACGAAAATATAAAAAAAAATAAAAATAAAAAAGAAAAGAAAAAAATATATATATATATTTTTTCCTAAATTTGTTTAGCATTAAAGTGGTGAAAGTTTAAAAAAAATAAAAAAATAATTTAATTTTCATGCGCAACTCATAATAGTATGATAACTAAACTTCTTGTTTTTTTGCAAAAAAATATAGGAAAATATTTAAAAAAAATTAATTTATTATGAAAGCAGTTACTTATAATTACATTTCTTATTTTCTTTCAAAATTTTCGTCATAATCAAATTCATATAAAAAAAGAGTATTTTCCTTTCCTTTTCTTTCACCTCACTTCACTTCACTTCACTTCATTTTTTTTTCTCCTTTCACTTCACTTTATATTATTTTCACTCATTTTTTTATTTTTCTAATCAAATGGAACCTAAAAGGAACATGTAATTAATTTGTCTAAAACATAAGAGAGTTAAAAAAAATTTCTACATCACCCCCATACAATTGTAAAGACACATCACATAAACATATATATTGAACCGACTAGATAATTTATTATTACAAGAAGTTTGCAATGGATTTTTTTTATTGAACCGACTAGATAATTTATTATTAGAAGAAGTTTGCGATAGATTTTTTTTTTCCTTCACTATTTTGGTAATAAAAATTTCCTTTTTTTTTTTTTTTTTTCAGTTGACACTGGTGGCAGGACATGCAGCAGTATCTCCCGAAGCTTACTGGAACATGGTTTTGCAAAACACTTCCATGCCTAGGACTCTCAAGAATCTTCTACCCTCAGGTTGGCCTTCAAATTCAGCCAAACGCTCCCTTATGTCTAAATGTTTGTTTGGAATTTTAGATTATACTTTAATTATGGATTTAGATATAAATTTGAAAAGAAAAATGGAAAAAAAAAATGAACTTATGTTTCATTCATATCTTCTTCATATATATATTTTTTTCCTTTTATAATTTTTTAAATATCTATCTAAATCCATAATCCAAACACAACACTAAAAGATAGAGAATTGAACTAAACATCTGTGGGCTTACCAAATTCATGTTTGGTTGTGTTAAAATACCACGAGTTTGTTAATCCTATGGGACTAGTAATCTCATTCAAGGGTGGGATTAGCATTGTCATGGTAAGGGTGAGATTGCAAGGTGAAAAAACTATCCTGCCACCTGTTTACAAAAAAACAATAGAATCTGTGGGGATATATTTTCTGAGTACCAACACGTGGCAAGGTGACATCGACGTGTCAGCCGAGGTGCCACGTGTCCTGGTCGTGACGCCGAGGTGATCTCGGCAAGGCCAAGGTTATCTCCGAAGATATCGGAATCCGAGATAAGTGGATAAGGGACAAGAGTCCTAGAATGAAAAAGGGAACTCAACCTGGATGAGGGACAAGAGTCCTAGAATGAGAGAAGACTTCAGTTTGTATTAAGATAAGACTCTTAGAGAGTTTATTCTAATCTTACTGGGAGTCCAAGATTAGCAGTAATCCTAAGTCCATAGAAGTTAGGCTTCTATTGGGACTAGGTTTACGTTGGCTATAAAAGAGAGGCACCCCCATGGGTCTAAGGTATGCTTTTGATACTCAAGCTTGTGAGTTTAGCACTTGATTTATCTTTGAGAGATATACTGACTTGATCGTTGGAGTGCCCTCAGGTGGACGAACCACTGCCGGAATCTTCTCTTTCTGCTGCAGGTCAGCCAGGTGCCATCTATTCTGCCAGTGCTCTCCAGCTGGTTACTAAGCGGGCAGTGTGGTCAGAAAATCACTCACACAATTTGGCACCGTCTGTGAGAAAGAAAGAAGAATAGATGGCCAATTACGGACAGAAGGATCATACTGGAGACAACGCTCCTGTTGGGAATGGAAGATCTATCAACCTCGACGTTGAAGGGGACAACAACAACACAGAAGCTCGTGACCAGAGTCACGGAGTGAAAGATGCCGGCCAGGAAGGTGACGCACCAAAGACAACAGATCGAAGCGGATACTACAACGAAGATGACCTCCAGGTATGGAAGGATGGATACTTGCGGAGGAACGAAGACCTTTCCAGAAGGGATGCAAAGACAGGGGGCATGAGCGCTCCCAAGGAAATAACATTCAAGTATAGAAGAACTCATCCTGAGTGAGTAGATCCTGGATTCCAGATCCTGGATCCCGGATCCGAGAAGACATGATCTCAGCCTAGACAAGTAGGCCCGAGAAGACCAGAGCTCAACCTAAGTGAGCAGATCCCGGATTCCAGATCCCGGATCCTAGAAGACATGATCTTGGCCTAGATGAGTAGGTCCGAGAAGAGAAGAGCTCAACCTGAGTGAGCATATTCAAGATTCTAGCAGACAAGATCTCGGCACTTAAGTCTGAAAAGAGAAGACCTCAGTAAGCAAATCTCAGATCCCAGAAGATAAAAAAGAAAACACACAAGGTTGAACTGCAGTTAGCCAGGTTGAAGACCTTTTATAAGGTTCGCAAAGGAGTATATGGAAGCCATGCAGGAGGCAGAGAGAAGAAGAATATGTTTACCACTTGTTGAAATTTGTAGCAATTTACAAGTTGGTTAAACCGAGATAATGTTTACCACTTGTTGAAATTTGTGGACAATTTACAAGTTAAGTTAAGCCGAGATAATGCTTAACTGAAGTTAAGCCAAAGATGATGTTTAACCGAAATTAAACCGAGATGATGCTTAACCGAAGTTAAACCGAGATGATGCTTAATCGAAGTTAAGCCGAAGAAGATGTTTAACCGAAGTTAAACTGAGATAATGCTTAACCGAAGTTAAGCCGAGATGATGTTGAAACTTGAGAAGAGTTTATAAGATCGAAGACTATGGTTAAACACTTGTTGAAATTTGTAGCAATTTATAAGTTGAAGTTAAGCCGAGATGGCTCCTTATCTTCACTTGTTGAAATTTGTAGCAATTTACAAGTTGAAGTTAAGAGTTAAACCGATATAATGTTCAAACGCTTGTTGAAAACTTGAGAAAAGTTTACAAGCAAAGTTAAACCGAGATGATGTTTAATACTTGTTGAAATTCTGTGTGAATTTACAAGTTGAAGTTAAACCGAGGTGATATTTAACACTTGTTGAAATTCTGTGTGAATTTATAAGTTGAAGTTAAACCAAGGTCGTATCGGAAGAAGATTGGTTTAAACACTTGTTGAAATTCTGTGTGAATTTACAAGTTATAGTTAAACCGATGTCGTATCGAAAGGAAGATGGTTTAACATTTGTTGAAATTTTGAGAAAAATTTACAAGCTGAAGTTAAGCCGAGATTATGATAAATGATGATGGTTAAACACTTGTTAAAATTTTTGAGAAAAATTTACAAGTTAAAGTCAAGTTCAAGCAATATCTGCATACTTGCCGAGACTACCAGGTTGTCAAAACTTGAAATATGGAAAACTGAAGTCTTGATAGAAGACATTGAGAAAGTAACAAGTCCTAAGCAACACTTGTGAAAATATTTGTTACAATATTTTCAAGTGTTAGGACAAGGCCGAGATGAGCAAGATTAGAAGTTGTGATAAAGGTATTTTACCCGAAGAGATTGCACAGTCAAGGTGTACTTTGAAGACATGCAAATTATTCTAAGTATAGAATCATACAAGAGCAGAAAAAAGAAGACATACATTCAAAGAAGAAATCAGAGAAATGCATTTAAAGAAGAAAGAAGGCACTTCGGCCTGAATATTGAAAAATAAATTATTCAGACTACAAAAATGGCACGTCGGCCGGATTAAAAACATACAAAGACGGACAAAGTACAAGGTACAAGGTACAAGGAGTAAAAGAAGGAAACAAAACTACTCAGCATCAATGGCAGGATATAGAAGACAGTTGGGAAGACTTCTCAATAGCCTTCTCGGCCTCGAGTTCAGTATCGATCTCCCAAAGAGTTTGATCAAGGCTCTTCTCGGCGATTGGCACCTCGGAGTTTGAAGGCAAGGATTGAAAACGAGGACATAGAGGTACTAGATGATGTCGTCAAGAAGCCAGCCGAGAGGAGTGAAGAGGCACTGAAAATCCTCGTCCAAGAGGGGGATGAAGGACGCTTCTTTCTTCTCGGCTCAGGCTTAGCCGAAGAAGAATAAAGAGAATTGGAAGCTTTTTTTTGGAGCAAACATTGAGGTATTTGCTTGGACACCTTACGAAATGCCTGGCATTGACCCTGAGGTCACTTGCCAC